TAAATTGCTTAAGAAGAAGGGCTTAATTGCTTTGATCCCAGAGTTCAAGGGCTTAACTGCATCAATTAAAGTCTAGGGGCTTAATAGCGATTCTGGGGTTAGTTCAGGGGCTTAACTTATGGTTTTGCCAAAAAAAAACACAATTGGCTATCTTTCTTTAATGAGTTGGCATTTTTATTTAATTTAAAAATTTTGATATCTTTTTTTTCCATCCACGTCATCTCTTCTTCTTCTTTCACTTTCTCTCTCCTTTACCCTTCCTTTTCCCTTGCCTCTGCAAACCCTAAAGCTCGAAACTTAGCATCATCGAGTTTGGTTTGGGTCATAATACATTAAAGATGTGTTGAAAATTCGTAATTATTTTCAATACCTGCTATATTTGTTGTGATTATGGTGGAAAATCTTTCAGTTTTAACCTTTTTTTTTTCTTTCTGAAATTTCGAATTTGTGTTTCTATTTAGTTTGGTTTAAGTGTGTTTGAATTGTGGATTTTTCTACGTAGTAAATCATGGAATCAGCCAAGAATTCATGGATGAGGTGTTTGCATAAAGCAAAAGGTTGTTTTCCAATTACAGATCTGGGTTTTCTCTCACAAACTTCATCTTCTTCCTCCTTTCCTCCTCGATAGTTTTGCCTCCTCATTCTCTATCAACCTTCCTTCCTTTCCCTGCTCATCCTTTTTCTTTCTTCTTCTTATTCTTTCTCTCTCTCTCTTCTCCCTTCTCCCTCTCAAACCCAGATCTGGGTTTCTCTCAGGCCCAGATCTGGGTCCGTCTCAACATTTTTACCTACCAATTGTCAAACTCTCTTCATCAAACTACTCTTTCGCCCCTCTACAAATTCATCATCGCCAAACCCATTTTTCCTTATTGGCACAAACCTTCATCCTCTCCGCCATTCAACCTTTCTCCCATCTCAGACTTCTGATTTTGCTATCACCGCCACACTACTACACCTCAACAAAACCCACGAAACCAACACCCACACCATTGACCATGGCTGGCAAAAGGTCACCTACGCCAAGAGGCAGCGGAAGCCCAAGCCGAATGCAGATGTGGGAGATGCAGTTCAGGTGGCGATGATGACAAGGATGAGGATGGCAGTCTTAAAGATTTGAAGGAGAACAAAAATGTAGAAGAAGTTAAGAAGTTGAAGCCGAATAAACCGAACCCAAGGTCAGTGACGTGGAGGTCGCCGCCAAGGTCGCCGCCAAGGTCGATTCACCATAGATCCAAATATTCATGGGTACCTCTAATTTGAGTTATCAAGGGAGAACCCACACAAATCTGGAAGGAAAAAGTGGAGGAAGAAGAAAGGGGGGAGAGAAAGAAGAAGAAAAAGGTAGGAGGAAGGGGGAAGAGGAGGAAGAAGGCTGGGAAAGAGGAAGGGGCAGTGGGATGAGAGAGAAGAAGGGAGGAAGAAGAAGAAGAATAATGCAATAATAAATGATGTGGATTTTTATTTAAATAAAAAAAAACACATGAAAAAAAAAAAGCCATCTCATCACCTTTTGCATGGTGTGTTATTCCACGTAATTATTATTTTTATAAAAATGTGATTTGGTGGCATTTTAACTACCAGCTGTCCATTTAACTGACGGAAGGACCATTTTGGTATCAAAAATGAAAGTTTAAGAATGATTTTGGTGCTTTTTAAAGTTGAGGGACCAAAATGGTACCTAAACCACTAAAATATTGTTTTAGTATC